TAGGTTTGGGGTTTGGTTGTTTTTTTTTCTTTTTTCTTTTTTTTCTTTTTTCCTATTTTTTTTTTTGCACTTTTGGAAGAGAATCGTTAAAATGCCAGATTCTTGAGGTGACCAAGGGCTCCGGAACGAGGCACGAAGAGCCTTATCCCCCTCCCCTCCGAAAGGCTGCTAGTTCCCCCCCCGAGGGCACACCGAGGGCACTAGGAGGCTGCTGAGAAGGGTTTTTTATCTTTTCTTTTTTTCCTTTTTTTTTCTTTTTTCCTATTTTTTTTGCACTTTTGGAAGAGAATCGTTAAAATGCCAGATTCTTGAGGTGACCAAGGGCTCCGGAACGACGCACGAAAAGAGCCTTATCCCCCTCCCCTCTGAAAGGCTGCTAGTTCCCCCCCCGAGGGCACACCGAGGGCACTAGGAGGCTGCTGAGAAGGGCACAGAACTGGACGAGATCTCGGCCGATTTCACGATGGTGATGACACTGGTGGTGGCAACTTTGGTGGGGGTGATGGGCCCTCGCGCCACAGTACGAGCAAAGGTCTGGAGTGCTTCGTACTTGGAGCGCAAGGCGTCCAGCTCTAGCTTCATGCTGCTGTTTTCTCTGGCCAGCTTCTCCACCTCCTGCTGCAGCTCGACCCGCTGCCTCTCCAGCTCCTCTTTCTGAGTCACCCGCTTGATGCGGCAGCTGGCAGCGTAGCCCCGGTTCTTCAGCGTGCGCCTCCGCTGCTTCAGACGGATGACCTCCTCTTTGGTGAGACCCCTCAGGTGCTGGTTCAGCTCCCGCACGGACATTGACACGAGTTCATCATCACTCAGCACTGGGGCATTCTCTCCTGACTCCTCCTTTACCTGCAAACACCAACAGCACAGGGGTAGCGCCAACCCTTATTCTGGAGGGGTGGTGGGGACAGAGCAGAGATGGGCCACCCCTCAGCGTTGTGACGCTGGGAGACAACCCAAAAGCAGTACAGAGAACACAGGAGCCAACCCTTATTCTGGAGGGGTGGTGGGGACAGAGCAGAGATGGGCCACCCCTCAGCGTTGTGACGCTGGGAGACAACCCAAAAGCAGTACAGAGAACACAGGATCCATTTAAACACCTGGGAAAAATATAATACATGGGTAGCCCTCTGAAGTCAGAGAGAGCAGAGAGTCTTCCTCACCCAGCATGAACCAAAAAGTAAGATTCTCTCCTCCTTATCTGGAGGGATGAGGGGGACAGAGCAGAGATGGGCCACCCCTCAGCATCGTGACGCTGGGAGACAACCCAAAAGAAGTACAGAGAGCACACGCTCCATTAAAACACCTGGGAAAAATATAGCAGATGGGTAACCCTCTGAAGTCAGAGAGAGCAGAGAGTCTTCCTCACCCAGCATGAACCAAAAAGTAAGATTCTCTCCTCCTTATCTGGAGGGATGAGGGGGACAGAGCAGAGATGGGCCACCCCTCAGCGTCGTGACGCTGGGAGACAACCCAAAAGCAGTACAGAGAACACACAATCCATTAAAACACCTGGGAAGAATATAGCAGATGGGTAACCCTCTGAAGTCAGAGAGAGCAGAGAGTCTTCCTCACCCAGCATGAACCAAAAAGTAAGATTCTCTCCTGACTCCTCCTCTACCTGCAAACACCAACAGCACAGAGGTAGCACCAACCCTTATCTGGAGGGATGGCAGGGACAGAGCAGAGATGGGCCACCCCTCAGCATTGTGATGCTAGGAAACACCCCAAAAGCAGTGCAGGGAGCACACCTGGGAAAAATATAGCAGAGATCTAAGCTCTGCTGTCATCTGGGTTTGGGTAACCCGCTGAAGTCAGAGAGAGAAGGGAGTCTTCCTCACTCTTGGGACCCCGTCTCATTGTTGGTCTGGGAGGGGTTGGTTCACGCCGGGTGAACCAAAAAGTAAGATTCTCTCCCAACTCCTCCTTTACCTGCAAACACCAACAGCACAGAGGTAGCACCAACCCTTATCTGGAGGGATGGCAGGGACAGAGCAGAGATGGGCCACCCCTCAGCATTGTGATGCTAGGAAACACCCCAAAAGCAGTGCAGGGAGCACACCTGGGAAAAATATAGCAGAGATCTAAGCTCTGCTGTCATCTGGGTTTGGGTAACCCTCTGAAGTCAGAGAGAGAAGGGAGTCTTCCTCACTCTTGGGACCCCGTCTCATTGTTGGTCTGGGAGGGGTTGGTTCACCCAGGGTGAACCAAAAAGTAAGATTCTCTCCCAACTCCTCCTTTACCTGCAAACACCAACAGCACAGGGGTAGCACCAACCCTTACATGGAGGGATGGTGGGGACAGAGCAGAGACGGGCCACCCCTCAGCATCGTGACACTGGACACCACCCCCAAAGCAGCGCAGAGAGCACACGCTCCACTAAAACATCTGGGCAAAATATAGCTGAGATCTGAGCTCTGCTGTCCTCTGGGTTTGGACAATCCTCTTAAGTCAGAGAGAGCAGTGAGTCTTCCTCGCCCAGCGTGAACCAAAAAGTAAGATTTTTAAGGAGATAAGTGTACAGCAAAGCAGACTGAAGCCCTTTGCGTTCCTTCGCCAGGACCCAGAATTCCTATTGAATCCTGACGACAACACCTTTTCCCAGCATTAGGCCGGGACACCAGTGCAGCACCTCAAAAGCAGAACAGCCACTTGTTACGCAGGGTTTAATTCAGCATTTTGTGGCTTTTTGCTGAAGACTGCCCATCCCAGTAGTGATCTAAACCAACCCCGCTCGGCCTCAAGGAGCACAGCCCGGCTCAGTGTCCCTGGTGCACAGGCCAGACTCTGAAGTTACACGAGAAAGACACCAAGGCCTTGTGCCCTTTTCTCAGGCAGCTTGGCTCCCCCAATTCATTTCAGAACCATACAATCATTCAGGTTGGAAAAGGCCTTCAAGATCGAGGGCAGAACCTTTAAGCCATCAGCCTTTTGTCTCTTCAGAGACTGTGGGACACCTGGAACGAAGAGCTAGGACACTGGAAAGGCAACATGTCCACAACCCCATGGGCAGACCACCACCAAGCCAGTGTGTCTGAAGCATTTACAGTCTCACAGATCTGAGAGACACCACCTCGACACCTCCTTTCCCCAGGGCCTCCCAGTCCTGAGAGCAGAAGTACTTCATCAACAGGCCTGGGAGCGCTGGTTTCAGGATGCTGCCAATCCCTGCTGTAGTCAAAAGTCTCTTAGATAGCAAATGGGACACGCCACCTTCCAACCCCATCCCAGAGACTTTTTTTGGGTATTGCCAGTATTCTTCAACCCTAACCCTTCCTGTAGATAGTGGGAAATCCTAGAGACACCCATGTGTAAGAGTCTCTGGGACCCGTACGACTGACGCCACAAAGGCCTGTGACAGCCTCCCCTGCCCCCCAGCATCACCCCATCCTTCCCTTCTTCCCTACCTTTAATGCCTTGTTCGGTTTGGGATTAGTCGTCATAACCTGAGCACAGTCTTCCGGACAAAACCGCTCAGAAATTGCAACTGGAAAAACAAAACAAGATTTTCAGGTTAGAGCAATCGGAGAGATGAAGGTAAGAAGAGGATACACCCAGCGCTCGGCCCAAACCCCCAGCTCCATCACCGTTAACAGAAACGACCCCACGGCCGTTTAAAGCCCTGGGGTGGACTCAGAGACCAGTTGACCAGTTCACCCCATCCAGATGCAAGAGAGAGAAATTTGTGTTGAGTTTTAAGGCTGAAGACCTCATATTTTGCTATTAACGAACACCGAGATGAAGCCGGGAGGACAGGGCAGGGAGGGGGGAAAGGCCACTGGCTCCTGTCTGTAATTAGCAGTCGGGCTAATCACCATCCACCGCCCCGCAATACGCCGTCCCCTCTCACGGGGAGCGGAGCGCGGCCTCCCAGGCCCCGTCACTCACTCACCCCCCTCCGGAGGAATCCCAGACGCTCGGAACGACCTATTAAAGACTGAATTAAGAGTTACCTCCGCTCATAAAAGGCACCGGGAAGCCACAAGACAACAACTCCCTTCATTCTTATTTTGCTTATTATTAACCCGGCTCCAAATTGAATCAGCAACCCAGAAAAAGCAGCTGCCTGGTTCGTCACCTGCTTTCAGAGCCGTCCCCACCCAAAGGAGACGCTACCAGAAAAGCCAGAAAACAAGAGAAACAAAAGCCCCCCCCCACCTCCTTCCCCTCCAACCCCTCAATAACAAAGCAAGGCAGGAGTTTGCCTCTCCCAAGGCACCAAGACTGTTGCTTCCCCATTCTCTCGGCCCCGGGGCTGCCAGGGCTGACCTGCCCCATATTTCTGGTGTCCGACTGATGGAGACCATCCCCTGGCAAGATGCTGCCCTTCACGCTCACCTCCACTGGTGACTACACCTCTTCGGTCGGCAGCCAACAGAAAACCCACCTTTGCCCAAAAAAAACCCCTTCCTCGCCCCGCGGCGATGGCGGCAGGGTGGCTGGTACCTACCGCCGGAGAGGCGACCGCAGCCGTGCCACCATCACAGCCTCTGCCTGTCGCTCCCCCAAAACGGGGAGGGTGTGAGGTGCTGGTGTGTGTGTGTGTGTGTGTGTTCCCCCCCTACCAACCCTTACATGGAGGGATGGTGGGGACAGAGCAGAGACGGGCCACCCCTCAGCATCGTGACACTGGACACCACCCCCAAAGCAGCGCAGAGAGCACACGCTCCACTAAAACATCTGGGCAAAATATAGCTGAGATCTGAGCTCTGCTGTCCTCTGGGTTTGGACAATCCTCTTAAGTCAGAGAGAGCAGTGAGTCTTCCTCGCCCAGCGTGAACCAAAAAGTAAGATTTTTAAGGAGATAAGTGTACAGCAAAGCAGACTGAAGCCCTTTGCGTTCCTTCGCCAGGACCCAGAATTCCTATTGAATCCTGACGACAACACCTTTTCCCAGCATTAGGCCGGGACACCAGTGCAGCACCTCAAAAGCAGAACAGCCACTTGTTACGCAGGGTTTAATTCAGCATTTTGTGGCTTTTTGCTGAAGACTGCCCATCCCAGTAGTGATCTAAACCAACCCCGCTCGGCCTCAAGGAGCACAGCCCGGCTCAGTGTCCCTGGTGCACAGGCCAGACTCTGAAGTTACACGAGAAAGACACCAAGGCCTTGTGCCCTTTTCTCAGGCAGCTTGGCTCCCCCAATTCATTTCAGAACCATACAATCATTCAGGTTGGAAAAGGCCTTCAAGATCGAGGGCAGAACCTTTAAGCCATCAGCCTTTTGTCTCTTCAGAGACTGTGGGACACCTGGAACGAAGAGCTAGGACACTGGAAAGGCAACATGTCCACAACCCCATGGGCAGACCACCACCAAGCCAGTGTGTCTGAAGCATTTACAGTCTCACAGATCTGAGAGACACCACCTCGACACCTCCTTTCCCCAGGGCCTCCCAGTCCTGAGAGCAGAAGTACTTCATCAACAGGCCTGGGAGCGCTGGTTTCAGGATGCTGCCAATCCCTGCTGTAGTCAAAAGTCTCTTAGATAGCAAATGGGACACGCCACCTTCCAACCCCATCCCAGAGACTTTTTTTGGGTATTGCCAGTATTCTTCAACCCTAACCCTTCCTGTAGATAGTGGGAAATCCTAGAGACACCCATGTGTAAGAGTCTCTGGGACCCGTACGACTGACGCCACAAAGGCCTGTGACAGCCTCCCCTGCCCCCCAGCATCACCCCATCCTTCCCTTCTTCCCTACCTTTAATGCCTTGTTCGGTTTGGGATTAGTCGTCATAACCTGAGCACAGTCTTCCGGACAAAACCGCTCAGAAATTGCAACTGGAAAAACAAAACAAGATTTTCAGGTTAGAGCAATCGGAGAGATGAAGGTAAGAAGAGGATACACCCAGCGCTCGGCCCAAACCCCCAGCTCCATCACCGTTAACAGAAACGACCCCACGGCCGTTTAAAGCCCTGGGGTGGACTCAGAGACCAGTTGACCAGTTCACCCCATCCAGATGCAAGAGAGAGAAATTTGTGTTGAGTTTTAAGGCTGAAGACCTCATATTTTGCTATTAACGAACACCGAGATGAAGCCGGGAGGACAGGGCAGGGAGGGGGGAAAGGCCACTGGCTCCTGTCTGTAATTAGCAGTCGGGCTAATCACCATCCACCGCCCCGCAATACGCCGTCCCCTCTCACGGGGAGCGGAGCGCGGCCTCCCAGGCCCCGTCACTCGCTCACCCCCCTCCGGAGGAATCCCAGACGCTCGGAACGACCTATTAAAGACTGAATTAAGAGTTACCTCCGCTCATAAAAGGCACCGGGAAGCCACAAGACAACAACTCCCTTCATTCTTATTTTGCTTATTATTAACCCGGCTCCAAATTGAATCAGCAACCCAGAAAAAGCAGCTGCCTGGTTCGTCACCTGCTTTCAGAGCCGTCCCCACCCAAAGGAGACGCTACCAGAAAAGCCAGAAAACAAGAGAAACAAAAGCCCCCCCCCACCTCCTTCCCCTCCAACCCCTCAATAACAAAGCAAGGCAGGAGTTTGCCTCTCCCAAGGCACCAAGACTGTTGCTTCCCCATTCTCTCGGCCCCGGGGCTGCCAGGGCTGACCTGCCCCATATTTCTGGTGTCCGACCGATGGAGACCATCCCCTGGCAAGATGCTGCCCTTCACGCTCACCTCCACTGGTGACTACACCCCTTCGGTCGACAGCCAGCAGAAAACCCACCTTTGCCCAAAAAAACCCCCTTCCTCGCCCCACGGCGATGGCGGCAGGGTGGTTGGTACCTACCGCCGGAGAGGCGAC